ATAGTAAGTATATACATATATATATATATATATATATATAAATGTATAATATTATGTTGTAATTATAAATAAGCCTGTATAATAAAAAATGAAAAAAAAATAATTAATAATAAATAATTCATGACTCATTGATCATTATCGTCAAATAAAAATTGAACACGCCGTGGTTCCATGCAGAAAAGCTTAATTGTATCTTCAACAATGTCAGATTGTTGACTTTTTAAAATATCACTATGAATGTACATAAGTGCTAAGCCATTCAAGCGGAGTTGTGTCATACTACTGCGAAGCCAAGTTTTAAATTTTTTAAGTGAGCTATAATATACAGCAAGAACAAAAATATCTATGAAGAAGCACTATAAAAGCAGATTAATAAATTATACATACCTAAATGACCTTTCAACACTACAAGTAGTTGATGGAAGGGTTATTGCTATTAAAATACAATTTTTTATTGATGGGAAAAATGTTGTTTCATCTAAAAGTTCAAGAAAATCTGTATTATCTTTAATTTCTTTTTCACTCCAATTGCTGTACCAAATAAGACCTTCTTCTAATATATTATCTACCAAATCTCCATAAAATGACTTAATATTTTTCAATTTAGTGATAAGTTCTTCTTTTTTTATACTTTTCATATATTTTGGATGGATTGAGAAAACTTCAAATTTTTCAAAATCTTCAGCAAATCTGTTATTTAATGAAGTAATTAATGAATCCAAGTATGGAATGAAAATTGATTTTCTGTAGTAATCTACCGGATCAGATGAAGGGGTATTATTTCTCAGTGTTTGTTTTGACGCTATTCTTGGTGTTTTTAATTCAATGCCAAGTTCAATTAAGTATTTATTTACATCATCCATTAAGCTCAGAAAAATTTCATCACTCATAAATCTATCATTAGTAATATGTTTTATGAGTTTTTTAATATGTTCATTAGCATTTAGTACATCACAATCAACTCCCTGTAAAATGTTTGTAACAGGTTCTATGATTGCCTTATCATATGGGGACCCTACTACCCGATGCCCTATAAAATGCAAATAAATACAATAAAAATTAGGTATTATCTAAATTAGCGGGGGGGGGCATGGCCCTCCCCGCCCCCCCCCCTGCGGGCGGCCTTGTGCATACATACTAATATATTATTAATTATAATTTAGTAAAATAGTTCACGACTCACATTGTATTGCCATTTGCCGCGCAAACCAAATTTTACAAAATTGTCTAAAATAGTATTATCTTCTATATTTATCTTACCTTTTAAAAGGCGATATCGGGATCGTAAATATTCAAAAGGTACGTGCTTCTTTCCAGTAGTCAATGCAAAATATAAATTAACTATTATTAGTTATTACAATATTACAGACGACAGACTCGTGAACGAAATACGAAAACAGTATATATTATTTTTAAATAATATTATATTGAATTATCGTATACAAACAAATAGTGATACCGCCACTGATACAAATCCAAATGGTTGCCGGATGCGTTATTGGCTATTATTTCTATTTATATAAACTAAAATTATTTTTATAACTGTGTCTTAGAACAACAAAATATAATTTTTGGTATGATTATTATCGTATTATTTATGTTATATTTTATAGATTTTAAATACACCAAACACTGAATACTATATTATTAAAATTTAAAAATCATAATATAAGTTAGTTATTTGTACAATCAAACTACCCCGCCCGAGACGGCCTATAATCCCATTATTCGACCGGCCCATCGGGAAATTTCCCGATCTCCCGATCTGCCAGTCCGCCCCTGGTTTTATTTTACATAATAATGTTCATATTGTATTGTTTTTTATAGGCACCTAATATAAAATATAATAACTAAACAAAATAAAAAATAGGTACCGAACGCCACCGATTGATTTTTAAACAAAAGTTTTAAATGAATACGAAAGTTACGGGCTTACGGTTATTATAATTTATAATCCATAGTAATGTAAAATATCCAAATTATGTTTATTTGAGTAAGTAGGTACATTTTATAAATTATAAAAATTATAAATCATTCTTCATGTTGGATTTCTGTCTGTCATTCATGTGCTGCACTCTATTAATTGTCGACGCTACTGCAAGAGATCCGATGCATATAATATTATTATTATTATTATTTTGTCGTCCGTCCCTGCGTTACTTGAAAATTTAATATTGGACGCTATCGGCGCGACGGTGGCAGAACAAAAAGGACTCCGTGCATTTGGTCGGGTGGTGTCGGCTGTAGAGGAACGAGTAGCGCGCCGCGGGGGTACAGAAGAATGTTGTCTTGCCGGTTGGCCGCCCGATGAACGATGTTGTCCGTGGGTAGGGTGGTGTATTCCGAGGAACTGTCGAAAACGAACGTTGTAAAGAGGGCTACCTGTCGCGCGGTTTTATGTGTTAGCAAGGGATATACTGATCTTTAATATATTATTATACCATGACCTTGTTTGTCGTGAATGCCGGGCCGCCCCCACTATCCTTAGGTACCAAGAATATTATAAAAATGTATTACACTATGGTCGGTACCGTTTAGTGGCGCCCCCTATAGTCGGCGGCTTAAAAACCAAAACACCAATAATAATAATAATATTATACACCCAAATCTCGAAGTCTCGAACGCTGTGTCATAATATTAATATGATGATGACGAAAAAAACCAATTTTAGAGAAATTATAAATTATATTGTTGTATTTTATTTTATTTTTTAGAATTAACCTTAATCGGGCAATCGGCTTTTTACAATATATATATATATATAGCATGGTAGTAGATTTTTACCAATGCTACAACAGCGACATATTATATTGATTGAACAAAAATAATATAAAAAATATCGATACATACCTATTTTTCATCACGAGATATCGTCTCATCGACATTAAGGTTTTTGATATCGCACTCCGGACAAATGTTGCCATCCCTAGTTATAGCCTAAAGGTACCTAAGTGATTCGCATGAATTTATAATTAAATAATAAAGAAAAACGCTCAAAGACAAGGTTATAGATATAGATTATAGGTTAGGTTGGGCATAGGTATATTAGGTATTTATTAATTTATTATAGATACGCACACATAATATTATATATTTCAAGGAATTATAAACTGTTTTTTATTTTAAACTACGGGATAATAGTATCATTGAGTAGTACTCAATAATAGTATTTTACAATATTACTTTACTACAATATACATTTTATAAACGCATTAACTACATTATTTTAATTATAACAGGTAAATAAACATGTCACTTAATACCTAAGTAGTTAATAATATATATGATTTATGGTTAAGTAATTAACAAAGATAAATGCAAAGGTAATTTTTTATCAACATTGATTCATGAATAGGTATCATGTGTATAGGTATACGTACAACGTACAAGTAAGGTAACTGATGCAAACCAAGTAATTTATATTATATAGGATGATAATTTATTTTAGTTCAATAGTTTAAATAGGAATTTGTTGTTGTACCTTTCCGTTAAAATCCCATTCAATCCGATTGAACACAAATGTTGGAAAATAAGTTAATACAAGTTCAATATTTGATAATTGAACATTGAAATATACAAACTTAAATAAATTTAAATTAAACACCCTGATATGTTTATAACGATTTAATTGAGAAATTGATTTATTTTATAAATATAAGTTATGACGTATGGTAATAAATTATAATATTTATATTGATCATATTAAAAGATAACATTATTGAGCCCGGTTTTAATTAATTTAGATGACAAAATTAAATGTAACTTGTAACTAATGTAAAAAGACTTATAATAGAACGTTTTTAATTACCTATTGTTAATTAAGTCAGTTACATTTTAAAATGGAAGAATTTAAATTTATTTAAGTTTAAAAATTATTATTCGATAATAATAAAATAATACCTAACCATATTATATTATTAAATTCACAAGAGCAGGCAATAAGTGATTAAATGTAATTTGTATAATTGTATATATGTAATTATTTGTTTTATATTAAACATATTTAGCCCGACTGCTTGTGTTTATATTTAGTAATTGAGTTTCTTACATACTATAGGTAATATATATAAACAGTGGCCTGTTCAGGGTGAGGGAGTGGGTAGATGTTATATTCAGATTATATCCCTATTGATCGAGAAATCCCTTTATTTATGTCTTCGGTTACCACCACAATTAATTTAAATATATTATATTTTATTAGTTATACATCCACCCCTAACATCGAAAAATCCTGGGCACGCCACATTATTTAATAATCATAATTAAATTTGGTTTTCTAAAATTAAATACAACATTATATTTTTATTAACTACTATGTGAAGTATGACATATATAAATTAAAATTAAGTTTATTACTTACAAAAAGTATTTGAAAATTAATTTTGATATATGTAGGTAAAATTATAGTCGACGTTTGTAGACTTGTAGTACCTAGGTTATATAGGTAAATGTATAATACTTCTACGTTTCTAACATAACTAAGCAAACATAAGGTACATTTAAAAAACACATCCTAAAGAGATCTTAAGTAAATATTAATTTAATTAATATAATTTTTATAAAGGTAATTTTGTTGATTGATAATTAATGAAGGTGTAATAAATTAAGGATACAAATCAAATTAATGGTATGTTAGTAGGTATTAAGTTTATATACGTAGGTAGTCAAGATTTAGTATCCGATGGTGGTTAAAGACATTTATGAACTACGTATTATTAACTACGGTAAATATTTTTTGGTACCTACCTAATTCTTTAAGAATACTTAAAGAATTCATATATACTTTAAGAATTCGAATAAAACTTAAAGAAAAATTATTTGCATATGTTTTTCGAGTTAAACAATCATTGTTCTAGTTTAAATAATTTTGGAAAATACCAACTGCTACACGGTATTATATTTATTCGTAGTCATATACTAAAAAGATAATTTGTTTATAATATATTTTCTACAAGCAATCTATTTTATGCTAGCTGGGCAATCCATATTTTATTTATGTTTTAAAAATCATTTTTTTTAAACTGTATTTGATTTTTAAAATGTATTAAAATCTTATCATACAATTGCTTGTATTCATCAGTTACATTTGCATTCTTATGACAAAAATATAAAATTGCGTGTATAAAAACTTTTTCCAACTCTTTTTGAGCATTTGCAGATTTTGAAACCGCTTTGCGCCAAGTTTTAGACACAGTGGTCATCGACGCAATGTCTTTATAAGATAAATACGAGAATATTTTTTCGAGAAATGGCTTACAAAAATCATGTTCTGTGAAAACCGACATAAAATCAATATATTCTTGACCTTGTTTAACGAAATCAACATCTAAGTTTAATGGAGGAGTTAATGTAAGTGATAATGGGAGATGCGGAGTAGAGTTATAGAAGTCATCAAATGAGAAAAATAATTCTGGAAAATTTTTGTAATTAAAAAAAAAGCTTGAATGACGATCTGTATCCTCGATAGTTACGTTTGATTTATATGTTACTAACATACCGTGGTGAATATCACCATCAGCAGCATATACATTGGGTTCATTATTAACATCGACGAGATTGTTTTGATCATTTTCATTGACATCGATATTAATATCGACAAGATCGATGTTATCATTTTCATTGACATTACATTTCATTGACATTTACATTTTCGTTGACATTTACATTTTCGTTGACATTTACATTTACATTTTCATTGACATTTACATTGTCATTGTTACGGATTTCAGTATGAAGTTCATCAAAAAATTTACCAACAATTTTTTTCATACACAATTGAAGTGCATTAAGTTCGGAAGGCGCTTGGTCAAAGGAGTAAAACATTTCTGACATTAATTCGGGACTAGTTGATATGGTACAGATTGCACCCGAAATGTCTTCGCTATTTTTATCAGCTGAGTTGTTGGAAGGTGTTGCGGTTTCAGAAGTATTATCAGTGTTGTCACACGGATATTCTTCACTCGATTTCTCGGCCATTGTTTCTGAACCTAATATAATACAATATATGAATTATAAAATATAGTCTTTGTGAAAAATATAGAAGTGTTTGCCGTTTAAGAATTATTATATATGGTACACAGAATTAGACTCGTTTACAATTAAATTGCATAATTAACACCGTGTTCTACGTGAATCCGGAGAGTGCTACAGAAAACAAAACAGCTTGTATCTCGCCGCATTGGACTCACCGCACTGTGGCGGAACAGCATAGCGTCGTTCACAGGAACAAACCCGCTATGTGAAAAAGCGTAGTTCAGGAACACGAAAAACGTTTTAAATAAAGAAATCACTTAGGAGTTATTTCATAAGCGATTAGTAGGTACCACATAGGAGAATTTATTTATTATTTTTCATTAATTTTACGATGCAGATAGTATATAGGAGATTTTATCAATAAATAGCTATTTTTTTTTCTGAATTCAGGGATACCCAAACCTCAAAATCATACATTTGGCTCATAGGAGGTTTGTTCGCGTGAACGACGATGGTCAGAATAGAATTCGCACGCACTCTCCGAGTTCAAGTAGGACACGGTATAGTGCTGGCTGTATTTCAAATTTTGATACCAGTATCCGGTATTTGTTTACTACCGGTATCTACGGTATTACTGGTTGTACGGTATTTTCGTTAATTATCGAATATACTGTACCTTGGTAATTACTGAAAATAAAGAACTTTGGTATGATTATCAAAAATACCATAAGCTCACTCGGCAAATTTATTAGTGTTTCCAAGTTTCCAACCTAGGATAAGGCTATCAATTATTATATTATATCATTACAATTATATAAAAGTAATGAATAATAAAGAAATCAAAATATTTTTGTATAGTTATTTAAATAAGTACCTATTAAATGTAGACTGTAGTCGAGACAATATTTGGATCAACTTATATGTCAAACTCTCAAAAATATTATTATTAATATGTTTTATAAAAAGTGATCTTACTCTAAGATTATTAAAAATGCATAAAAACCATTTGCCATGAATGAGTTTTATCAAGTCCCACCAATCAAGTTATCACCTATGGTGGCTAAACATTATTATACATTTTCACTTGTATTATAATATTTCTACTAGTATAAGGCTGAGGCACTGGTATAATACAATAACAATACAACACTATAATACAACAGTTGAATTGTAGTTTGTACTTGTAATATTTGTCTGTTACGAGTGTGAAGTCCCGATAATCGTATATGATCTAATTACCAATATTTAACATATTATTACTATTATTTTACAAAAGGTTTGAAAACTAGTTTTTAGAATTTAAAAATTCTTATTTTATAAGTAAACTTTTTTTTCATAAGATGTGTAAAATATACGCATCCCCCCCTCATATGTTGTCCGAGCACATCCAAACCTTTATCAATGTTATTGTAAATTCTTAAATCGTCATTAATCATTATATAGGTATATTATATGTGTTTTATATAGATGTCTGGCTCATCACATACCTTAACGGATTGCAGGGCGATATCGGATCGAATTAAAATTTGTTCAGCCACAAGCCGTACAAGAAGAATAGTAGTTAAAACGGAGTAGATGCTTTTGTTGAGTTGCACTTTTCACTCAATGAAAAGGTATTATATAAAATAATATAATATTGAGTGTACGAACAGCAAAAACTTAAAAAGTTAAAACGTATTCGAGGTGCTGTTGCTTATTGAGTGACGACACGTAAAATGAGCCCGGGATGCTCAGCTATAGTACCACGGCGGGCGCCGCCCTAGCTATTATTGATCGTTCTCGATGAACCTTGGATTGGCACAGGCGCACAGCATCCAACTTAATAATAATATAGGTAATACATTTATTTTCGTTTCAGTAAACTTAAGTTGCAGTGGGGCATTATGCCATTTTCTGTGTATACAGGCTAAGGCTACCAATATAGCGATTTTGTCGTTTAAATCGTGTCCTAATATAAAATAAAAACTACATACATCATTGTAAAATAATACATTTCTCATCGCTCTGCTCAGAGTCTAAAAGTGGAAAAGTCGTTTGCACGTAAACTTCACGGCAGCGTTTTGTGTATATTCACGAAGTCTCGGAGACTCGACCTCGGTGTGTAATATTATCGCTAAATATCAGCATATTCTTATTCATTAGGGATATAGCCACTCATAAATTGTATTTTGTTGTGTAGCTGGGACATTATTAGCCCTTTGACGAGTATGGACGTATATATACGTTATGTTGAAACGCTCCTCAGGGAGTATGGACGTATATTTACGTTTTACACAAAAACGTTATTTTATCTATGTGTTATGCCCGTATTAAATTTACGATAATTTATGAATCATGTGCTGCTATCTACTGGCTACGTATATTTACGTCTTTACTAAAATAGCGGTATCGTATTTAAGACGTAAATATACGTCTTTACTTTAAATAATTTATCCAAGTTGCTCATTCCTAATTCACTCCCTTGGTGTAAACTAATAAATCCCAATTCACTCTCCAAAGGGTTAGTTTTACCCCCCCCCACCATTAAATTCATCACGATACGTCGATACACCCATCTATATCAGGGTTATAAGTACCTAGTTTATATAAGTAAAAAAGCCTAAAAAGGTACTTATTACTTAACGTATATGTATATATCTTATATATTTATATTGTGTATTTCCCAATTAGTATTATACAACAATTTTATTATAATTTTAGTACTTAGTTAGTTTCTATGCATTATCTATAATCTGACTTTGAGTGACTGAGTCGTGAAGTGTCGTGGGTGAAGATATCTGCTATGGGTTAAGTTCACTTAGATCAGAGGCTTATTAAAAAATTAAATGTTATCAAAATGACAAAATGATTGTTGACTAAAACAAAATATTTTTCTATTTAATAAAATATTACAAACGTTAATATAAGTAGGTACGATAAGAAAAAACTTCTCGTGGTGACGAAGGAGGGTACTGAAATGCTTTGCTTTTGCTAGGTTTTTGTGATTGTTCAACTCATTTTTGGTGAGACACGCTGTGGAATTAATGTCTTTTTAAGTGTTAATGATTTTATATTTTAATTTATAGCCATCCCAGCCGGAGTTGTCCTAGATATTCGCTTGTGATTAAGAGAACAGTATATTATTAGGTAAGCAATCTACCAAAAAATTACAAAAATTTGTCCACCGGAACCGTGGTTCGACTTGATACATTCTGTACTAAAATACACAGGCTTATCGCATTAATAATAATAGGTAATTATTATTATTAAAACCAAATGCAACCATTTGTTAACAACAATTTTCATCGTAATTTATAAACCTCCCCGGGTTGGACCTATTATTTACCTTTTTCGAGACAAAATGTAGCCTATTTTCTTCCCCGAGGTCTAATCTATCTCTGTACCAAATTTCATCGCAATCGGATGAACGGCTTAGGTATGCGTAAAGGACATAGGTACTTAACTAGCTAGGTAAGTACTAAGTAGAACCATTTTTGGAAATTTTATATAATATAATATATAGGTAATATAGATTATGGTATTTGTACTGGGATATTTTTGAATAAACGGAAAAATATAATCACGGAGAATCCAAATTCGTTTCTGTGCAGACAAAATAATAAAATAATATTGATGTCTCTTTTCGAGCCCGTCTTCCGAGAAATGTGTATCGATTTTCTTACAACACACAACTCCCGAGCACCTGCTGCGCAGCTACCAAAAAAATACAATACATCTTTGCATTGTATTATTATTTATTATACATAAAAATGTTGTGAGGCCCGGGCTGATGTCATCGACCGATGCCGACGCAGTCTCAACCCCCACCACCGCTCACCATCCTCGGCTATCACACCCTAAACGACTAAACACTTGTCAGTATTGCACTCTCTACTCACCCGCCCGATCTTAAACGCCCAGGCCGAATATTATAATTTATGACCCAAGTCATGACCAAAATAATCGAATTTTTTTTCAGTAAATATTTTATAATTTGAAACATAAAATTGATGGTATTTCACTATAATAATAATAGTTGGACGTAAACTTAAAAACCAGAGGTATTCAATTTTAACTTAAGGGTGTTTTTTACCCGACGTACCTGCAGTGCCTATATAAATATTTAATCAAATTATTCTATACAAGCTAGGAGAAAAGACGAACAGTAATAAATTAAGAGTGTAAAGAAAATAATATATACAAGCATTAGATGGGGTGCATAATAAGTGATTTTTTCAACAAAAAAAAAAGGTATACATATCACATATTTTAGGTACTTACTTAGCGCGTACCATTTAATATTTTACAAAAATCACAATTCCCACACCATATTAATACAATATATATGATGCAATGATACATCGATTGTAAACGTGATCGAAATTTTGGCAACAGCTAACAGGGATACAATGGACATTCTCACACATTGTCACATATTTATTTCATTTATTTTTATTATAGTCGATTAACACCTGCAGGCAACTGATTTAGGAATTGTATGTTTTCGATAGCGATTACGTTCTATAGCCCTTCAAATAGCCACTGCATACAAATAAAAATTGACTTTGTAAAAAGAAAAAAAAATTTTTAAAGAAATATAACCTACCAAGTGTTTAAAATATGTTCATGGACAACTTGTTTTAAAGAATATGAGGGTTCAGGGTCACTCACATGGCATGCTATATTATGTATCTCAGTAACGACTAACGGCCCATAACCAATATTATAGTCGGTTTGTAATATTTTTTTTATTATACTCCACATTGTCCACATAAAATATTTAGTTATTTCGAATAAATTGTCAACTTAAAAATGATACATATATACCTAATATGAAACATGATATAAATTAGCTCAAATAGGTATGACGTGACTGTTGCACGTCGATTCTTGTATGTTAGTTCTTGGTTTATTATGAATGGTCATTTTTTTTTAGTTATAACTTATAACGTTAAATGCAGTAAATCTCGGATTAGGGGGGGGATTAAGGGGGAGGGGGCCCATTAATTTTTGGGGCCCACATT